TACCTTCCATGTGAACATTAGTTGTGTTTTCATCGTTGAGCCATGTTTCTGACAGTGCTATTATTGTAAAGGTTCTGTTTAGCTGTTTTAAATAATCTGTTATTTTGGATATATTTGCATTTAAACTTCTACTGTTAAAGTGAATAATAGAGAGACCTCCATTCTTTATATTGATGTAATTAAACTGTTCTTCATTGTAATATTCACAGTCTTTTATTTCAGGGAAAATATTTGTATCCATCACATCTTCAACATTTTATATTTTAAACTCTAAATCTTCGTATGTTGCCATGTTTTAATGTATTTGTTTTTTTTATATTTTGTTAATTTCTTGTTTGTGAAGTTATGTCAATGATTTATTATCTGTCATCTCCTGAGCTCATTTTAGTTTTTCCAGATCTTTCAGGTCTTTTATTATTTTAGTCTGAGATCCTTCCTGTATTTTGATTCAGATGTTTCCATTTCTTGTCCAAGTTGATGCTATTTTTTTCTGTTTTTTTTTAACCACCTTGCTTCATGTGCAATATTTCCATTTTTTTAGTTAGATGTTCGTTTATGTAAACATTTGTTCCCTTCAGTTTTTTTGCATTATTACCTTGTTTCTTGATTTCCTGCTAATGAACTTGATGACTATGGATGGTTTGGCTTTATCTGATTTGTTGGGCAGGGTGTGACAGATTGACATGTCCTCATGTTCGATGTCAATGTCTTTGTTTTGTAAAAAATTCACTACTTGCTCCTCCAGAGTCTGTAGTTCTTCCTGTGGTGCATCTTCTGCTGTGTTAGTACCAGCAACAACTCTTGCATAAGTTCGGTTCCTAACTTCCAGTCCAGTGATCACCAAGTTGTCTAGTCTTGTGTATTGTTCCAAGTCTTCTACTTTTTGTTCCAGTTCAGCTATTTTTCTGTCTTTATTAGTCATCAGTTCTTTCAAATTTCTCACTTCTTCAAACAGTCCTGTTAGTAAATCACATTTAGCTGATACTTTAGTCAGTTCAGCACTCAAATAGTTCAAAGATTTTTTAACTTCCTCCATATCTTCAGAATTATTTTCCGACACTTGTCTCTTATCTCTGTGTTTGCTCGGCATTACTCACGATACTTCTGGATTATTGGTCTCAACTCTCAGAAGCACAGGATCCAGCCACGAGGTTCAGAGGCTATTGTTGTTATCTTATGTTGTTAGCCGAGGCCTAGCCAGGTCTAGCCGAGGACTAGCGGCAACAACTTCCAGGTCCCACACGGTCCCACGATTCACTCGGTCCAGCAGTTCGCAGCCCCAATGGTGACAGACTAGGTCCCGGTTGCAACAGCTCCCAAATCCCACAGCTGTAGTTTAGCTTCCTCGGTTTCCGCGGCTCGCAGGTCCAACAGCGGCGGACCGGGTCTCCTCCGTAAACAGCTCGGTTCAGCGGCTCGCAGGTCCAACAGCGGCGGACCGGGTCACCGACGTAAACAGCTCGGTTTAGCGGCTCGCAGGTCCAACAGCGGCGGACTGGGTCTCCGCCGCAGACCACTCAGTTCCAGCGGCTCGCAGGTCCAACAGCGGCGGACCGGGTCTCCTCCGTAAACAGCCCGGTTCAGTGGCTCGCAGGTCCAACAGCAGCGGACCGGGTCTCCTCCGTAAACAGCTCGGTTCAACGGCTCGCAGGTCCAAACGGCGGCAGACCGGGTCTCCGCAGGCCTCACTAGCCGAAGTAGCTCTCTGACCAGCCAAACATTAGCTAAACTAGTGGCTCAGCATCCACGGTTCAGAGCGCGCGGACTTCCTTCTTCCTCCTGTTCTGTATATATATATATATATATATATATATATCCACATATGTATTATCTATATAGACATATACATACACATACACAGTTGGAGTCAGTTTTGTAAAGTTGGCAAAGTTAGCTAGATAGCTAGCGGGAGCATCAGTCAACACCTCCTACTCCATGGGCGCCATCTTGAGTTGCGCCATCATGAGATGCTCCATTAGAGCATTTCTGACATAATCTCTTCCTTCCCCAACTTCCTGTGTCACAGCCACCTGGGGTGGCTGGGCAGCTGCTTCTACATCAGGTTCATCCAGTACGGTCAAAAAGCCACAGACTGAGAAGTAAGTTGAACAAAGTCACGATACCCTCCATTTTGTTTTATGGTCGTCTTCTTCTAACACTTAAGTGGTGGCTAGTACAATAGCTTAATGGCGCACTACCGCCACCATCTGGTAATGCATGTTGGATTCTGGACCCCACCCACTAGAACCGGTACTGAAAGCATAATGGAAACACAACGTGTACTGTACCGAGTAGAGTAGAGCTGTACTGTACCGGTACTACAGGTACTAATGGAAAAGGGGCATTAGACTGCTGGAGGACAAACTGACTACAATTTTCACTCTGCTATTGTCACTCTGCTCAACCTGTTTTGTATTTGTAATTATTTTTTCTATTTTTAACATGTGTTTTTTTTTGTCTTTCAGATACACCTGGACCTATACCTGGACCTACTGTATACCTGGACCTACCATTCTATGTTCGTCTGTCTCTCCTTCCTGTCCTCTCAACCAGCCGGTCAAAGCAGATGGCCGCTTGTCCTGAGCCTGGTTCTGCTGGAGGTTTCTTCCTTTTAAAAGGGAGTTTTTCCTTTCCACTGTTGCCACTGTGCTTGCTCAGGATGGGAGACTGCAACGAAGCCAAGATTCAACTCGTCTGCTGGATTCCTTAGATAAAGAACTTTACTAATTGGCTTTTATGTGAATGTTCCTGTAAAGTGCCCTAAGACAACTTTTTTGTGATTTGGCACTATATAAATCAACTGAATTGAATTGAACTGGGTAAACCCCAACGTACAGGCGCCAAGATGGGGGGCAACAAGTATGCCCACTCCTGCTCGGCACCTCTCGTCAGGGGCAACTCCAGAGTGGAAGAGTGTCCAACCCTTCTCAAGGAAACTGGTTCCAGAGCCAGAGCCATGCGTTGAGGTGAGTCCAACTATTTCTAGCTGGAATCTCTCAACCTCACACACCAGCTCAGGCTCCTTCCCCACCAGAGAGGTGACATTCCACATCCCAATAGCCAGCTTCTGTAGCAGAGGATCAGACCACCAGGGTCCCTGCCCTCGGTCACCACCCATCCCACATTGCACCTGACCTCTTTGGCCCCTCCCACAGGTGGTGAGCCCATGGTAAGGGGGACCCATGTTGCCTCTTCGGGCTGTGTCCGGCCGGGCTCCATGGGTAAAAGCCCAGGCGCTCGCCAGCATGCCCCACCTCCAGGCCCGGCTCCAGAGTGGGACCCCTGTGACCCACGTCCGGGCAAGGGAACATTGTTTCCATAGATTGTATTCATCATAAGGGGTCTTTGGGCTGCACTTTGTCTGGTCCCTCACCTAGGACCTGTCTGCCTTGGGTGACCCTACTAGGGGCATGAAGCTCCTAACAACATATCTCCTAGGATCATTGGGACACTTAAACCCCACCACGGTAAGGGGGCAGCCCAGGGAGGGGCAGTCCTGATGCATCCACCAAATTTGGTGAGTTTTGGGATATGTTATGGCCCCCAAAAGGCCAATTCATTTGACAGAAAAATTGCTCGGGCCTAATGAACTGAGCGATTACAGTAGGCCTTCGCAGCACTTTGCTGCTTGGGCCTAAATACAAAACAGGTTGAGCAGAGTAAGTAACGACAGTAACAGAGTGAAAAAAATGTGGTCAATTTGTCCTCCAGCAGTCTAAGCCTAAAGCAGCATAACTAAGGGACAGCTCAAGAAACCCAAGCTCTAGGAAGCTCAGTCCTCACCTCCTTCTACAGGTGTGCAGTGGAGAGCATCCTGTGCTCCAGCATCAACGTGTGGCATGGAGGCTGCACAGCTGCAGAAAGAAAAGCTTTGCAGAGAGTGGTGAAGGCTGCACAGAAGATGTTGGAGTCAGTCTCCCCAGCATCACAGACATCTACACCTCCAGATGCAGGAAGAGGGCCACCTGCATCATGAAGGACCACACTCACTCAGCACACACACTTTTTGTCCTGCTCCCCTCAGGAAGGAGGTTGAGGAGCATTAAGTGTAGAACCACTAGACTGAGGAACAGCTTCTACCCTGAGGCTGTTAGACTCATGAATCTCTAACTAGAATAATCACTGTGAAAAATCACATCATGTTGCTGCTGATCTGTTTCATGTTGCTGCTGATCTGTTTCATGTTGCTGCTGATCTGTTTCAATGTTGATGTGTTCATTCGTGCTCATCTGCTCACACTGACTCATGTTCATGCTTCTGTTCGGCGTATTGTTTATTGTTTTTATGCTGTTAGTGCTTAGTGTATTTTTAGTTGATGTTTTTCTTAGTTCATATCTTTGATCTTATTACTTTTTCTTTTACATTTTTTGTTGGCTGTAAATGTGACCCTGAGTACATAATCTCGTTCCACCACATGTACCACATGTGGTGAAATGACAGTAAATAATCTCCAAATATCTCACCTACCTGTCTCACCTGTCTGTCTCTTGCCTGTCTGACTCACCTTTTTGTCTCTCATCTGCCTTTCTCTTACCTGTCTGTCTCTTCATCCTATCTCTCATGCCTGTCTCGTAACTGTCTGTTTCCCCTACCTGTCTTTCACCTGTCTCTCTCACCTGCCTGTCCAACCTGTCTCTCACCTGCCTGTCTCTCCTGCCTGTCTCTCACCTGTCTGTGTTTCCTGCCTGTCCTTCACCTGCCTGTCTTAGATGCCTGTCACTTGCTTGTCTCTTAACTGTCTCTCATTTGTCTGCCTCTCACATGCCTGTCTCACCTGCCTGTCTTGCTTACATGTCTCTCAATTGTCTGTCTCTCACCTGCCTGTCTCCTTACAGTCTCTCACCTGCCTGTATCACCTACCTGCCTCTCCTACCTGTCTCTCTCCAGTCAGTCTCTCACCTGTCTGTCACATCTTGCCTGTCTTTTAACTGTCTCTTGTCTGTTTCTCTCCTACCTCTATCCTACCTTTCTCTCACCTGCCTGTCTCACCTGTTTCTCAGGTTGGCTAGTCCTGGGTGTAAGTCGGCTCCGGTCAGGAGCAATTCGTCCTTTCTCTGTAGAGGATATGAAAGAGGCTGAGCTCCAAGAAGTTGTTGTCCATCAACGTTTTATCTCTGACTCCACCTCCCTGTTCCTGATCTACTTCTTGCAACTAGCTGTCATGGCGATGTACCTGACCCAGGAGCAGCTGAAGCTTGTCCCGCTGCTGACCATCGTTTTTGCTTTCGGACGGTGAGTGTCCACAGCAATTGTTGTCTAATTGTCCAATTGACAAAATGTGTCTCAGGGCTGTAGCATGAAGATGTGCTCCCCTGACTCTGACCTATGACCCCTGACCCTTTAGTTTAACAACAAAGTACTGAACATCAGTAATAAATAAGATTAAAAAAAGCATAAAAATAAAGTTACAAAGCTAAGCACACAATGAATTAAAAACTGTTTAAAACACAATAAAACGACAAGTTAAACAGATAAAATCAATACCAATAAAAAATGAAGTAAAATCAAGACTCAGTTGGGTAAGGCCGATGAGTAGAGATGAGTTTTCACATGGGTTTTAAAAATGGACAGTGAGGAGTCCTGTCGAATGTGCAAAGGCAGAGTGTTCCATAACTTAGGGGCACTAACAGAGAAGGTCCTGTCTCCTCTGAGCTTCGTCTTACTCTTGGGAATGACCAAAAGCAGCTGGTCAGCAAACCTGAGTGACCGAGGGGGAGTGTAGTGGTGGAGAAGCACTGTTAAATGGGGGGGGGGGGGCGGGGGGACTGTTTAAAACCTTAACAGGAACAGCTTTTAACAGGAACTCGTAGGTTTGAGCACATTACTCCGGTTCTGTCCTCTCTTCACTGGCTTCCTGTACATGTCAGAGTTTATTTTAAAATTCTCCTACTGACATTCAAGTGCAATAACGGCCTTGCACCATCATATCTCTCTGACTTTCTTCATCCTTATGCTCCTTCTCGGGCTTTGAGATCATCAGACCAGCTGCTTTTGGCCGTACCAAAAACCAGCTGAAGCTCAGAGGAGATCGAGCGTTCGTGGGCCCTAAACTTTGGAACAATCTGCCCATCAACATTCGACAGGCCACCTCAGTCTCTGCTTTTAAATCTCTCCTAAAAACACATCTGTACTCACTGACACATCTGTACTCACTGACACACCTGTACTCACTGACACATCTGTACTCACTGACACATCTGTACTCACTGACACATCTGTACTCACTGACACATCTGTACTCACTGACATTTAACACAGGGTGATCAGATTTAGATCTGGTTTTTCATTGCTGCTGATTCTGTTTATGCTTTTGTTATTATTCCTATTTAACGCAAGGTCATCAGATCTGATTTAGTATTTCATTGTTTCTGACTGAGTTTATGCTTTTTGTTATTATTTCCTTGACTTTTGACACAACGTGATCTGATTTAGTATTTCATTGTTTCTAATTGTTTTTGGTTTTATATTTTTATTCCATGTGCTGTAAATATATCTTGCTACTTTTTATTTGAAGCTGTGATATTTTTGTTAAGCACTTTGGTAACAGTTTCTGTTTTAAATGTGCTCTATAAATAAATCTGACTTGACTTAAAAACAAAGAAAATAATTTTAAAATGTACTCTAAAATACACGGGCAGCCAGTGGAGAGAAGCCAGGACAGGGTGATGTGTGCTCTTTTATGTATTCCAGTTAACAGACGTGCAGCAGCATTTTGCACCAACTGCAGATGTGTAAGTGAGAACTGGCTGACTCCGAGATAGAGAGAATTACAGTAATCCAGCCGTGATGAAATGAAAGCATGGATTACCGTTTCAAACTGTTGCCTTGAAAGATTAGATTTTACCTTTGCCATTTTTCTTAAATGATAAAAACTAGACTTGACTGTGGCCCTTATTTGACAGATTTTAAAATCACTGTCCATCTTAAAACCAAGGTTTGTAACTGTGGACTTTACGTACATTATCATGTCAGGGTCAACTAAGGGCCCCTAAGTCAACTGGAGAGCTCCAACAAGCTCCACTGGGTCCAAAAACAAGCATCTCTGTCTTTTTTCATTAAAATGCAGGAAGTCTAGGGCCATACAAACTTTAAGATCCTCAAGACATGATAAATGAGGTTTAATGGACCAAGCATCAACTCCCCTTAAAGGAACATAGATTTGGCAATCATCAGCATAGCAATGAAAGAGGAGGCTGTGTTTTCTAAATATCGATCCTAGAGGAAGTAGATATAAAGTAAAAAGCAAAGGCCCTAAAATTGATCCCTGAGGAACCCCACATGACAGAGGAGCAGAAAAGGATTTACACCCAGCAATTTTTACAGAAAATGTTCTGTCTGCCAGATAGGACCCCAAACACTCCAGAGCAATCCCACCAATGCCTACTTCGTGCTGTAGACTTGACAATAAAATGTTGTGGTCCACTGTGTCAAAAGCAGCAGTTAAGTCCAGTAACACAAGGATCACATGATCACCCGAGTCACATGTGTTGGATTTAATGTTTTATCTTTTATTATTTCTGAAATTTCATGTTATATCATGTGTGTGTGTGACGTTTTTCTTTAGAGTTTCCTCACAATCATTTAAATGTTAATCAATTAATTTGCATGAGTATCCACTTTGTATATATAATCTCACCCTAGTTAGGGTCAATCTTATAAATTCACAATCTTATAAGTTCACATTTTGATATAATTACAAGCGACTCAGAGCAGGTAAGATACTGATTAGACTCCAGGGAAGTGTCGCTGAGTATGGACGCTCACACACACACACGCTCACTCACACACACACACACGCTCACACACACGCTCACTCACACACACAGACTGATGAACATAAAATAATCTAGAACACATCTCTCTAACTTAGACTTAATATAGTTTGACTAAATAAAATTAGTAAGATAATAGAAAGTAGCATTTAATCGTTTAACAATTGTTATCAGTTTAGAGGAGAGAATCTTCACAGAAAAAACACCAGGGTTTGACTAACAAGAGCAATAAAATTCTTTATCTATGATATGTAACCTCAAGGGCATATCTAGCAAAACAAAAGAGCCCCGTAACCATGACAACGGGTTGTTTAAACCAATCAGATCCATGCACACTCGGGGGGGTGGGGGGTGGGGGTTCATCAGGCCAGGATTCTGCGGTCTACACTCATCTCCAGGCCAGCGGTCACTCTTTCAGGGATGAAGATGTTCACATCCTGGACAGAGAGGAACGATGGTTTGAGAGAGGAGTAAAGGAGGCCATCTTTGTGAAAAGAAACCGTCCATCATTAAACAGGGGCGGAGCCTCCAGGTTCAACTGTCCCCCTCTTACAATGCTGTGATTGCTAGTATCACTCAACCCCCTGTGAATAGTAAACAGCCATCAGGTGCTAATGATCCATTGTTAGGCTGATGGTCCTTCTTGAGCATGTGATCAGCTGGTTTTGGTTGTCAGCAGCAAACTGGTTGATCCACTCTGAGAAGGTGCTATTTAAGAGACTGAGCTGAATACAGCACCTCAGACTGAGGAAGTCTCTTGGATGAGAGACGAAACGTTTCTATATTTTTTTGCTTTTTTTTTTTTTTTAATGTCCAGA